TGATTTTTAAATTAAAGTCAAGGAGACAATAAACATACCATTTCTGTCCTCTCTTCTATGTCACTTTCTTCACTTTTTATTTCTTCATCTGTTCCTTCATCACTGTCATCAGAAGAACTACTTACAGCTGTGTAAAAGAGATTTCAGATATTTTTTACATTATTACATTGCACACCTAAGTTATATTTATAACAAGTAGTTATTTTTATGTTATTAGAATTGTTCATTCTTATTAAGCACACAAGCAGTATTTACAGCACGCAAGAAGCTTCATGAAAATGGAAGACGAGAAGTTTACAGAAGTACTCCTACATTCCTTCTAGATGAGACACACAGTTCAGAAAGTCTCTTTATATTGCTGTATACACACAAATATTTTCAGTTTTTTAATTGAACTTCAGTTCTGAATATGGGATTAATGTATTAATTATTCAATCAGGAGACTGCCAGAACATCAATGAAGTGCCAATGTTCTTGATGGCTTCCAGGTTACAAAGAAAAGTGAATTGAAAGAGCTGGCTTAAGAGTGAAATCAAGTAGTCAAATTAGGAAAAAAAAGTCTTATTACCACCTCCTCTGAAATACACAGAAACATTAGCGAGCAAAGTATCTAACTTCTTTACACCACAGAAGGAAGACTAGGGACTTCTTGCACATAACAAACAAAACTGCATAAAACTCTGATATCACTGACTGGAAGAGTTGAGTTGACAGAAGAAAAAGTCTCTGGAACACAAGAAGAAATGTGGTACCCCAGGCTAAGAGATGCTTTAACATGAAACACTGCACTCACTCTTAATATGAATGCCTCAGTACAGTTCCATGACACTCATGTCATCCTAAAAGCAAGTTAAAGTGCTCACTGTACCCACAGCTCAGCATTAAAGGCGTTATGCTAGTTACTAAAGAATAAAAACTAACTCACTTTTTTCGCTATGATGATCATTTTCCTCAGCAGGAAGGCTTTTTAAAACAGAGTCAACACCAGGCAACCTGCAACGTCTCTTCTTTCTTCCTTTTCTTCTCCTATAGAGCATAAAACAGTTCACTTAAACTTGGCCAATCTCATTTTACAGAGTCACAGAATCGCAAGGTTGGAAAGGACCTGCAAGATCATCTAGTCCAACCACCCTCCTATTCCTATTAGTACCACAAGCTACTAAACCATCTCTCGTAGCTCCTCATCCAGGTGCCTCTTGAACACTGCCATTTAATATGTTTATCTTAGCTAACACCAGTACATGAAAACACACAGGATGTATGTTCAGGTTATTTTCATGAATTAACACTGAAATAATTCAGGCAATGCTCATTTTACAGTAGATACCTTCACTACCTTTTACTTGCCTTCTCAAGCAGATCCTCAAGCCACATTTAATTGATATTAAAGTATTGCCTCTGACTCAAAAGTACCTCAGGCCTCTCTAAGTTGTTTTAGAAGTACCTTTCTTTGAGAAAATGTAGTCCCAATAAAAAGGCATCTCACAGCAATAGTTAAGAATAACATATAGTTATTAAATGTAGACAACGCTTAAACAACATTAAAACATTGAGCAACATTTAAACCTACATGTTTGGTAACAACATGTAGCTATGCACCTTTGAATGAAAGAGAAGCTCCCAAGAACACGCTGACTGCACTGAATAGGCACATACCACCTACAGCATGAGCTTAGAGATCAAACTCACATACACCTACAAAAGTGGCTGGTCAAATCTGAAAAATCTTCATGCTGAAACCAAAAGTATTACTTACATGCGAGCCACAGCCTTCCGTGCCAATTTACGCTGTAATCTGCGATTTTCATCAGTATCACGAAGGACATGATCTTCAGCTGCCCATCTATCCCAGCTAAGGAGTGGTCAAAAGAAAGTTACTAATGGCTTACATACATTCCATTCATGATTGTTGGTAAATTAATACATGTAAAATGTAAGAAGTACTATCTTAACATCATTCAGAAGCAACACTGAGTTACATTCTTCAGTATTCACATGGCTTCCAACTGACACTGCTATGTCAAGACTGGAGAGCTTCTAGGCATCAAATGGTAACGTTTGTAGCACCAATATGTGCTATAGACCATGGTCAGAGACTGCACTCATCTAACCACAATAGGCAAACTACCTTACGTCTAATGAAGGACAAAAATCTTTTTATTACTGGAAACCTGGGAGCCACAGTATACAAATATCCCATAAAGTTTAAACTGATGGTTAGCAAAATGATCCACTGATATTTAAAGATAGAAACTAATCAGCCAACACGTTCAAATATATTAAAAGCACTCATAGATTAAACATACTCATACAAACATTACGTCTTGGACATTCTACATAACATTTTTATCTGCCAAAAATAAAAAAGGAAGTAATGAAAGAACAAAAATTAGGTATACAGGTTCTTACCTTCTGTTCCAACCGTTAAAATGGATTAGATATTCTGGAATTTTTCTGCCTTTCTCATCTTTACCAACAATAATATCAACAATCTGAAAAGTGAACAGCACATATTACAACACTTGAAAGAATGTGAACTTCTGAATGTTTAAGGAACTTATACACACAGGAAAAAAATATGTTCAAGACAACTAGAGTTTTGTTATTGACTGTTTATATGAGAAAAATATATAAACTATACCAGTGGTGAGCAAAAGTCGCTTTTTTTGTCAGACACTTCTAAAGTGCTGCTAGCCATCTTTATCATGCCCTCTGAACAATGCTTTCAAGACAATGTGATATTGTGTTGCTCTACAGCAATATGGATGTGTAGATAAACTATACCTCTTCAGGAAGCAATAGTACTATATGTAAACCTCAGAAAGACTGTTCTCTTGAGCACATAATCTAGCTCTGAAACACAAAAATGTCTTGTGGGTTTCTGTTTCTTTCTCGCTCACTTAGGTAAAATGACACAGTCATAAAATAGCTTGGGTTGGAAGGAACCTCAAAGACCACCTAGTTTCAGCTCCAAAAATAATTATCTCAGGCACCCACAAGTTTATTTTGATCAAGTGTGGTCAAAGTGGAAACAAAAATCATTATTTACACTAGAGGCATTTTCTGAACAGTTGTCTGGGGAGGAGGCTTTCTTCGTCTTTCTCTCATTAGCAAGACACACCGATGAACTGCATTACATGCTCTTGTTTGTTTTTTGTTTGTTTGTTTTTTTTTTGTTTGTTTTGTTTTTTAAATCTGCTTTCTTCTCAGAACACAGAGATTCAGTATTTAAAAAAAGAAAAAATAAAGTACAAACAGCCAGTCAAAAGAAAAAGATATTTCACAATGGATCATTAAGAAGATCAATAGGACTACTAAAAACAAAGGAATCATCCCACCCTCATGTGAATGGGCACACCACATACATAGGTGAAGCCAGTGGATAGGCTACAGGAACTTTTAATTTTGGAACCCAGAATGTAAGGAACTGTTGAACCAAGGAGAGCGTTGCTAGAGTCCAGGGTATTTGAAAGTAAAGATAAAGGTGCTATTAAATTTCTGCTCTGAAGTTGCCTCTAAGGCCTGCTGTGATGGCTGTTGGGATGGCTGGAACATAACAATTATTCACTATGAGAGTGGTGAGATGCTGGAACAGGCTGCCCAGAGAGGTTGTGGATGCCCTGTCCCTGGAGGTGTTCAAGGCCAGGTTGACATGGCCCTGGGCAGCCTGGTCTAGTATTAAATGTGGAGGTCGGTGGCCCTGCATGTGGCAGGGGGGTTGGAGATTCGTGATCCTTGAGGTCCCTTCTGTGATAACAATATTTGGAGAAACATGAGGACAGCTCAAATTCCCGTGGAAAGGCGTTTGGAAAACACTGACTGACACTACTAGTAAATTCCTAGCACAAAAGTACCATCTGGTCAAGAATCCAGCTGTAACATTCCTTTTTGCCCCTCAGTGGACAAGCAAAACCAGTAAACAACCCCCACCACGCAAAGTAGGATCACAGAATCACAGAACGGCCAGGGTTGGAAGGGACCTCAAGGATCATGAACCTCCAACCCCCCTGCCACATGCAGGGCCATCAACCTCCACGTTAAATGCTAAACCATTGACAGGTTCAGAACAGGTCACTTTTGACTGAAAAATTCAGCTCGTGTCGCACCAGCGCTCCCAGAAGCACCGGACCTACACAAAGCCCCACAAAGTGCCGGCAGCTGCACAAGGGGCCAGGCCCGCAACGCAGTCACCTGACGGACCGCCACTGCAGACCGCCGCCCACCGCTTACGACGGTTTTTCTACGCGCACCGCCGCTGCGCTCACACCCTCTGAGGGGGAGGCAGGCAGGGAGTAAGGAGGCTGACGAGCCACGCTAGGCTAGAGACAGAAGGAAAAAAAAAAAAAATGGGGGGCCGCTCAGCAGCGTCCAGCCGCGGCCGCATAGCGCGGTGGCACTGCCGCACCGAGGAGCGGCGCCGTTCGCCGCCTGAACAGAACACAAGGCCCCGGCTCCGCCCGCTCCTGTTAGCGGCCAGGCCGAAAGAGCGGCTTTGGGGGCTCGGCCGCCGCTCCGGACCCGTTCTCTCCCGCCGTCCGATCCCCGCGCCCAGTGGCAGCGGCGGGGCCGCCCCGCCTGCCCGCGGCCGCGTCCCTCTTCCGCCCTTCCTCCGCCGCCCCCAGCGCGCGCACCCGGAAGCGGAGCGGCGGGAGCGCGCGGCGCACCGACGAAGGAGCGTTAAGGGCGGCCCCGCCTCTCCGCTGTCCGGGGCTGAGGGGCAGGGTGCGAGCGCGGCCGGTCACCTTGGCATCATAGAGCACTTTAGCCTTGGTGGGGTCGGGCTCGAAGCAGAGAACTCTCTCCCCCCGGTGGAACTTAAATTTCATTCCCCGCGAGGTCATTTGTTCATCATGGCGCAAAGGAGAGCGTCCCGCCCCGCCCGTCGGGGTGGTGCTGCCGCCGGCCCCGCCCTCTCCGGCTCCTCGGGCGGTGGCGGCGGGGTGGCGGGCTGCCAGAACGGGGCAGGGAGGGGGCTGCGCTGTGTTGCGCTGCGCGCTCCGGCTGTGCTGTCAAGCCGGGAGCCGTCCTCCGCTGTCAAGATGGCCGTTTCGACGCCTTCAGGGCTAGTGACTCCCTGGGCGGCCTTGTTTGCAGCACCTCCCTGCTCTCTCTGAGAAGAAATTCTTCCTGATATCCAACCTGAACTTTCTCTGGTGCGACCTCTCTCTAGACCGTCTCTCAAAGCCCCATCCTGCCTGGCCTTGGGTGCCTCTAGGAAGGGGACATTCACACCCTCACTGGGCAGCCTGTTCTATAATGTAGATGTGATGTTGACTGCAGAAAGTATTATCGAAGTTCCTTTATTTTATTTTTTTTTTAAGGTTTTGTGCAGCTATGGAACAACAGCTGCTGTCCAGGAGTTACCATTGTTTAAAGAAGAAACAACAGCAGAGGAGACTGAACAACACACTTCTGTTTGTATCCTGACTTCTGACCTGGTATGCCAGTGACAGTAGTCACACTAGGCGATCCTTCAACCACTTCTGCCCGAAACAGCCCTATGTTTTGTCCTGTTGTCTCCTTCCTCCTCACTGCTCTATATTTCCAGACACTGCTTCTCACTGATCTTACCTCAGCCTCTCTTTATTCACCTTAGCCCCACTCAGGCTGCTTTTCTTTTTGTCTCATGTTTCTTCTTGTTCGTGTTTCCTCTTGAGATAAGGAGCATCTGCTTTTATCTCCCTTATCCACCTGGCTGCACATAACCCTTGTCAGCACGTCCCCCACTTTGCCAGGTCGCTCTCCAGTGCTACTGGAAGACTTTAAAAAGTTTGGACATGGGATGCACTTAACAAAAATCCATCCAGAGGGAGCTCTGAGAGCACAGAGGTGGGCACATTGAAGAAACATTGGCTCTGTGATAGTGTTATGCAAAAAAGCCCTAGGTCTACCAGAACATTAAATACAAGTTATCAATTTTCAAAGGTAGCAGTTTCTCTGAAGGGTTGATTGCCAAATGGCTGTGCAAAACCAACAGAAAAAAAGCTCTTGGAAAATGGGTGTTGTACACGTGTATGTATGTACTGCATGTGCAACATTTGTGAGGAGTTGTAGTTGTCATGTGTAGCATATAAACAGAAGGCCCAATACAAGACGTATCAGGTCTAGCAAAGCTTGAAATAGAGCTCCTCACTTGCATCCAGCAAGTCCTTTAGAAGTGTGTACATACATATGCATCTACGTGTATATATATATATATATATGTATACATCTACGTGTATATATATATGAAAATAAACAGCTGTGGTGCTTCATCAGGTTCAGCTTCTTTGGGGTCAAGGTCCAAAAAGCTGAGGAAAGGGACCTGATTGCTGAGCTTGCTGAGAACTGCCAGTAAAGCAGTACTTGCTTAACATCTCCAAGCCACGGGATGAGCTGACCCAATGCATATTTTGGTGAGGTTCCCAGGACACTATATAGCTTGCAGGAAAGAAATATGATTTAAGAACTCCTCTGGGAGACAAAGCGGCCTGAGAGAGGAAACCCATAAGACACCCTGCCGTCAAGACACCCTGCCAAAGGGCACCCAATGGATCATGAGGGCTAAGGGTTTCATGAGGAAACATTTCAGCTGCTTTACATACTGCAGCTCTGAAGATACAGGCAGCCCTGTGGTCACAGTTTTTCTTTTAACAACACAACCAGTGCTTTTTATTCTATGGTACTGGAGGCAGCTCCCAGTCTTGCTGCCATCACACAGCATGGCAGTGGACTCAGGGCATTCAGGGAGCTGCAACCATGGAGGCCAGGTTGCTCCCTCACACCAGGGGGATAAAATATTCAAGCGTGTTTGTTCAGGTATCAAAGAATTTTTAGATGCTGCTGTTGAAGCTGACTATTAATGATATCATGAAAGTCGTGTATGTGTAGAACACAGATTGCAAAAGTGAATTTCCAGAAGGAATGATAGAGACACACATACTTTGCTTACAGTTGGTAGTAAATTTGCAATAGTAGGTTGGTCTACATCATTTTAAACTGTAGGATATAGCTGTAGGATATTCCAGCATCCTCAGTTTTAGTACTCTTCTTGCAAATGTTGGTGGAATATCAACTCCAATATACTTAACCAATCAATATTTTTAACCCCTCTGTGAGTTTTTCTTTAAGATTCCTCCTCTATTCCTTCGGGCTAGGAAATGCCAAGCAGAATTTTTTTGACACTTGGAGGGTCATGTTGTCTTCATGATTCTCTCATCGTAATGCTTAGATTGAAATCCCTAAAGATTATGTTACTTTTTTCCTGTACTTTCTTTTAGCAGTGGTCATCTGAATAAGCCATGTTGTGTGCTTTGTATGTTAGAAAGCAAATAAATCTTGCTGAATTGTGATGCATGGAAGATATGATATCTGCATTTCAATGAAGTAATAGGTCAGTCATCTTCTCCTTGAAGTTAATAAAAATTCTCTTAAGCACCAACATAATACTGTCCTACATTTTTTGATGTAATCCTCAAAAAGCTCAAGTGGTAAATGTTTGAAGAAAGAAACACATTTATCCAGTATCTCTACAAACTAATTGTTTCATTTTATTAAGGCAAGGCCTGTTCTTTTCATACCTCCCAAGTTAAGCTCTGGTACTTAGGCTCATTTCTGCTGTTTACATTGGCTTCACAAACCTTCAGCCTAAACAGAGGAAAAGAAGGAAGGTTTCTTCCCATGAAACAGCTCAAGAGAGACATTGCTTAAATGAAGTGTACTTCCTGCTTCAACATAATTAAATGGAGAGATCTTAAAAAAACACCATACCCGCAAATATCCCACCTAATTTATGTGACACTACAGGCATCTCTGGCAAACATAAAGCTTGGCTTCCATAACCTACAAATGGTGAGGTGATTGGTAGCTGTTCGGGATGTTCCTCCTAATGTTCATGTTTGGGTACCTGTTTCTAACTGAGAAGTTTCAGGCAAAGCTGTTGGTTGCTTCTAGGACAGAGCTAGCATCTGTTGCATGATGCTCCTTGGGGAGTGTGAGGGTTGCAAAAGGAGAGAACACTAGGCAAAAGAGAGGGAAAGGAGGGAGGCTGATGTAGCCTTTGCCTGGTTTGTAATATCTCTGAAATGGGCTTCAGCATGTGCCTTCTCCTGATCTGGATACTGTCTGGGACAGCGCTGGTTGACATGAGCCAAAGCTTACAATTAAGCATAATGAGCAATTAACAGCTTGGTGCTTACACTTCTTTCCAGGCCATGTTTTTTCTAGTGTTGTAGACATAGCCTGAGAGACCTTTGGGCAAAAAAACATGCTGTACATTATTGGTGGAGACTTGTTTAATTTTAGAAGGTCCCAGACCAGGCTTCCTTAAAGCAGCTTAAGCAAGTTCTGCTTCTGGTTCTTTTCTCCTCCACCATAGTCAGCTGTCCTGTGGGACATAGTCAGCTGTGCAGCAGGGAGGCTGATCTGAAGAATCAGAATGGATTGAGATCTTATAGCTGTACCAAAACTGGGCTTGGGCAAACAATATGTAGTGAGAAATATTCTTTAAAAAGAAAAGAAAAAGAAGAAACTCCAGGTGAACATCCCAATCACACATTATATCAATATTTTTTTGCCTTGGTTTCTGGCTTGTAAAATCACAGATTTGCAGAACCACAGGGATTGGAAGGGAACTCTAGAGATAATGTAGTCCTACCTCTGCTGAAGCAGGTTCCCTGCAGCAGGTCACCCTGGGTCATGAATATCTCTACACAGGGAGACTCCACAGCCTCTTTGGGCTGCCTGTTCCATGGCTCTGTCACTGACAGTGAAAAAGTAGCTCCTTGCATTAGTATGAAACTTCCTATGTTCCGCTTTCTCCCTGTTGTCCATTGTTCTGCTGTTGCTTGCCAAAAGTAAAAGGGTGACTGTATTTCAAAGTCAGCAGTTCTTTGTTCAGAACAGGTTCAAAACATGCAAAAAAAGGATGCATGTTTGACAAAGCACAGAAAAGCAAATGTAACAAATGCACTACCTCAAAGCTTTTCAGTCAGCTGAGCACACTTGTTCTGAGAAAAACTTGACCACAGCGGGGTCAATGAAGTTACAGATTTTAAGGGAAAAAAGAGAGTATGAAATATTCCTAATCACATGTAATTCAATGGCTGTTCATTGGGGCTTTACAAATGTGCAACCCCACCCACAATAAGGAATGTATGCAACATTTAGCTGATTTCTTGCATTATTAATTGCTATAGAGAACTAAGACTACAGAGGAAGAAGAAGTAAGGTATTTATACATACCAAATACCATAAAGATTAATTGTCTATAATATCAAATGCTGTCTTTCTGGGTATTAGTATTGTGCATGTTTTGGTTTGGAAAAAAAGAATTGCTTTCTTGGAATCCAAGCCTCCATTATTACTGGCCTTCACACTGAGACATCATAAATAATGCAGAAAGCTGCTGCCCCAAAGTCAGGAGCTTGGAGGGGAAAAAGAAGACACAGCTCCTATGGCTGCCTTGTGTCTGGAGAAGTGCTGAGCCAGGCAGAGTGCAAAGGCATATGCAGTTCAAGTGGGGAGGGAACAGTTCCAGCAGGAGAACCAGGTAAGGAAGAGCTTTCTAGCAACACAGCAAAGCAGGACTCTGCTCCCTGAAATCTGGACAATGGGTTTCTGGATGCGTGGAGCATGGTAGGACTGTGGACCAGAGCATATCCCCAGCTGGCAGAGCAGGTTGCCCTGGGTATGCCCATGAAGGGCATGGCATGCCTTCTGCATTCTATAGTGCTCACATCAGAGAAAAAATGGTGGGTTTTTTGGTTGCTTCTTCGTTTCAAAGTCACTCCCTTGGTGCAGATTCTTGCAAGGAAGCAGTCCCTTGATGCAGTATGCAGACAAGTCCTCAAGTTGAACCAGCTGCAGAGACTAAGATGGAATCCTTGGCTTTTGGAGGGCAGCTCTTTCCTATGAACTCTGCAACTCCAGAAAGCTCTCTCTTCTCTGTTTCTTCATTTCTTATTTAACATTTTTGATTCTTTGCTTTCTTCAACTGCATCCTCTTTTGTCACCTGCTATCACTTGATTTTTCTCAGGTCTTTTCCCCACACACTGCCTATTTTTGTGGGGTGAGAAGAGCTGAAATGACATTTTGTTTTCTGAAGTAATGGGCTGATATCCATCCCTATCATAGAAAATCAATGAGAAAATTTGCATCTGCATTTTCACAAAAGCCTTTTTTTATTCCTGCTCTGCTTTTCAAATAAGAAACTTGAGAACATCTCCCCGAGGCTTTCTATTAGTGCTCAGGAAAGACTCCATAAGTTTCATGCAGGCATCTCCCACTCTGCCCATGCTACAGTTTCTAGTCTTGTCTTGTAGCCCTCAGCTCCCCACACCTGCTTCCCTTCTTGGTGCACAAGGTTTTTAGTCAGGTGGATTTCAAATAGAGTATTTTGGGGTGAGTCAGAAAGGGCAGGTAGGGAGGAGCGTAGGCACTGGGTCAATATTTCTCTTC